TCAATCAAGGAACCAGTTCAATCAAGGAACCAGTTCAATCAAAAGAACCAGTTCAATTTAATGAACTAGTTGAATCAGTGAACCATTTAAATCAAAAGAAACAATTCAATCAAAATAACCAGTTCAGTTTATTGAAACAGTTCAGTTAATGAACCATTTAAATCACTGAACCAGTTCAATCACTGACGTCCACTCCTGGTTGCTGAACCGTCTGTTCTGATAGATCCGCATGGATCTGGAACAGCGGTGGGACCTCAGTCCTTCTGAGTTTCATTCATTTCTGCAGACTTTCGGTTTGGGAGGCACCTCAGTGCGTTTCCAATATAATCACAAATTACCCAAATGCATTTTTTAAATTACAGAGGCAGCAATGTTTGTCATTAAATATCAGTTAGTGGCTAATTTCCCCTTCCAGCCCTTTAGGTGCAGATTCATACAGGCTAGTAGAATTTAGCACAAAGGCTACAGTAAAAAACTTTTTTTGTTCATTTTTATTGCTCTTATTATTTCTTATGTATTTTTCGTGTTATTCTCTGACTTGCTTACTTTATATATCTATTATATATTTATTTTTTATTCAGTTTATTTCATGCATTTTTTTGTCACATTAAAGAAATTCCAAATAAAAAAGCTGAGTATTTAAAGCAGAAATAGATGAAAGGAGCTTCGGTTCTGCAGCGGTTCTTTAGGATCGGACTTAAAGGTCCAATTGTTGGTTCCATGATGGCTGAAGATTCAGGCTGAACTGGTTTCTGTGGATTAAAAACCGTTTGGTGGAAACTTCTCTGTCTTCCTCAGCCAAAGCCGGCGCCTCCCGCAGACCTGCGGCCGCCTCCTCTCCGGGGTCTCTGCAGCGATCTCGCAGCGACGTGGACGTCAACGCTGCCGCCTGCGCCCGCACCAGGATGCCCGCCGTCTCCTCCACGGTGCCGTCTCCCTTCAGCGCCGCCTCGGCGCTTCCTCCGGGATCCTACGCCTCCCTGGGTAAGAACCGGCTCCGCTCCGGCCCACATTCATGATTCCGTCTAGTTTCCTTCAAACCTTCTTCCTCAGGCCGAGTGAGAACCAGGAGGACGAGCTCCGGAACCGGTCCGACTGTGACAGACAGCCGTGGGCGGAGTCGGGGGAAAGTCGTCTCTCAGTCGCAGCGTGAGTTAAGACGCCCCGTCTCTCCATCAGAACATGGAAGGTCAGACTTGGGTTCGTTAACGTCGACTCGTTTGCTGCTTGTTTCAGCCGGCAGCCGCTCGGGTTCTCCGGGCCGCCTGCTGAGCGCCACCTACGGCCGGATGGTCAGGACGTCCACGGGGGGCGGCAGCAGCAGCGCCTCATGCAGTCTGAGCGAGAAGAACCGACCTCGAGGTCACCGCAGTCAGGGCTGCAGCCGAGAGACGAGTCCCAGCAGATCAGGAGCCGGTAAGAACCAGAACCGGGTCCTCTTTTAGATGATCTGGATTTAACACTAAAGACACAACGATGACTTTATTTCAAATCCAGGAAAGTTAGGTTTTAGGTAAAAATATACATTTTTAAATGTTTTCTTTTGTAATTTTATTTAGAAAATAGACATCTTATTTTTATTTTTTTTGTTTATTTTTACTTGGTAGGGTAGAGAAATATTTACAGAGTTAAAAGTTAAATCATAAGAACTAGTTCAATCAGAGAAACAGTTCAATTTAAGAATCAAATCAATTTAATGAATCAGTTCAGTTTAATGAACCAGTTCAATCACAGGACCAGTTCAATCTAAAGAACCAGTTCAATCAAAAGAACCAGTTCAATCTGAAGAAACAGTCCAATGCAAAGAACCAGTTTAATCTAAAGAATCAAATCAATTAATGAATCAGTTCAATTTAATGAACCAGTTCAATGCAAAGAACCAGTTCAATCACAGAACAGTTCAATCTGAAGAACCAGTTCTTTAGACGATATTGTGACTTTCTTCTTTAATTAGCTTCAATGTTTCTTTGATTTAATTTATTGTAAGAAAATGTGATGTTTTACATATTTCTTTGCCTATTTGAGATATTTTATAGATTAATGACACAAAAGGTGAAATATTCCAAGCCTTCTCATCCAATTTAGAAAACTATTTTGATGTAAACATTTTATTTTGTGTTTTATTCATAATCATCAGAATTGTAATAAAATCATCCGTTAACATCTTAGTGTGCATCGCTGTAAACGAACCCCAGGCTCAGAGGACCGAGGAACTCCACCTGGCTTTCATTAAGCTTCCTTTTGTCGCCATTTTTCCTCCTCTCACGTCACCTCATGTCTCTGACCCCGAGCAGTAGACTGAAGCTGTAGCTCCGCCTTCATCCTCATCCTCCTCCTCCTCCTGTCTAACACCTGTGGCGTCTAACCCAGCCTGTGTAACTCACTGCATGGACCGCTCTCCTGTCCTCTCTGTCCACCTCGGTCCGGTCCGGACTCTGCAGCCCGGAGCCGGATCCCTCGGCCCAGCATGAGTCAGGGCTGCAGCCGGGAAACGAGTCGCGAGAGCAGCCGCGACACCAGCCCCTCCAGGGGTTTCTCCCCCCTGGGTGAGTACCGGAACGCTCGGCCCATTAGAGACCAGCCACCCGTATGCATGTTCTCCTCTGATCTGATGTCCTCTGAAGGCTCTCTGAACCTTCTCTGTCCTCTAAGCTGTGGTTCTATGTCCTCCTCCAGTGAGCCGTCCTCATTCCCGTTCCACCGGCGCCCTGTCCTCAGCAGAGGGCTGCTCAGGTGAACGCTGAGCTTCTAAGAACTTCTATAGAACCTGTTGGTGCTCTTTTACCTGCTCCACCTGCATGGCTAACCCTCCTGCAGCAAAGACCAGCAGAGAGATGTCTCTGCTGCTGTCCTGCTTCTTCTTCTGTTGCATCTTTTATATCAGACGCCATTTTGGTTTATTGCTGCTGGTTTTATGATTTGCCGCTTCGGCGTGGACCTGGATCATCACCTCATGTCCTCCGCGTCCTTCGTCTAAAGCAATGTCTCCTCCTCAGACCGGCTGTCCCATCAGGCGCGAATCTCCGCCTCCGTCAACGCCATGAGGATCCTGAACACCGGCACCGAGGTGGAGGCGGCCGTGGCCGACGCTCTGGTAGGAGAACATCCTGTGGGGTTTGTGAGGGTGGGGGAGCAGGAGCGGTTCTGATGGAGGTTTCTCCTTTCTGCTGTGAATTCCAGCTGTTAGGAGACTCCAGGAGTAAGGTAGTAGATCTTCAGTGTTCTGCATGCAGACTAACCCTGCTGAGCAGCTAGCATGCTGATGTCTGTCCACCGTCTCAGCGGCGGCCCGTGAGGCGGCGCTTCGAGTCGCCCGGCATGTACTCGGACGACGACGCCAACAGCGACGCCTCCAGCGCCTGCTCGGAGCGCTCCTTCAGCTCCAGGAACGGCGGGGCGGGGCCCCACTTCCTGCGTCAGACGGAGGACGTGGCCGAGGTGCTGAACCACTGCGCCAGCTCCAACTGGTCTGAGAGGAAGGAGGGTCTGCTGGGCCTGCAGAACCTGCTGAAGAGCCAGAGGATGCTGAGGTAGGCGGGATCCTCCACGGCAGACCCCCCCGGGTCTGAGGAGAGACTCAGCTTCTTCTCTGCTTTGTTCCAGCCGCGTGGAGCTGAAGAGGCTGTGTGAGATCTTCACCAGGATGTTTGCAGACCCCCACAGTAAGGTGAGGTCTCCCCCTGATCTTGGCTGCATGTTCAGAGCAGCATGTCTGACAGGAAGCAGCACCTAACGTTCCTTCATGACGCTAACAGAAGGTTTTCTGTTGCATGTTTCCTCCCTGCTGGGACTCTAACAAACTTCAGAGAGTAAGTGTTTCCTCACCACCCAGGACCCGGTTCTGTGCTGAACGCCGGCCCTCACCGTCCTCTTCCTCCCCCTTTGGTCTGTTTCAGGTGTTCAGCATGTTCCTGGAGACTCTGGTGGACTTCATCGTCTTGCACCGGGACGATCTGCAGGACTGGCTCTTCGTGCTTCTCACACAGCTGCTGAAGAAGATGGGCGCAGACTTGCTGGGCTCGGTCCAAGCCAAGGTCCAGAAGGCTCTGGATGTCACCAGGTCAGGCCAGGTCCATACCTAGCTCTTTTAAGAAGAACACCTTCACTGATTGTCTGGCCTCCAGAAGGACAGAGTCTGAAACAGGTTCTGTGGTTGAGCAGCTGGTTCTGTTTAAAACACAGACCCAATTAGGTTTTTTCATCATAGGTTCTGGTCCTCGGAGTTTGTCAGGAACCAGAGAGCAGCATTTTTCTATTTGGACCGGGAAAAGCTTTATTTTGAAAAACCAACACAACATTTCTTCCACAGTTTCATCATCGGGGAACATCCAGAATCTGACCAAATCGGAGACTGAGGCTTTTATTCTCAAAGGAGCAACTTTCTGCTGGAGTTTAAAAGATAAATCAGACGGGCTTTTATTTTGAAAGGAACCAATTAGCTTAAACCCTTACGTATGTTTTGGTGCTGAAATCTGCATTAGATTTATCTTTTTGAAGCAGATTCATCCAGCAAGCTCTGAACTTAATCCTGTAGTGAAGGCACTGCCCACCCAGGGACGCCAAATATATTATGCAATAATTGTACATTCAATATCCACCCCAGTAGTGGGGGAAAATATATTATTTAATCAAATAATATTTGGACTTTCATATATTGTTTATTAACCCACGTCCAACTGGCTGTGTGTTAGAACAACAAATGAAAGTGTGAATCAAGCTCAGATTAGAGCCGAACAGTAACTCTGCACATATATAAAATAAATTCACCACAGCCAGGTGTGGATCTATACTGGAGGACAGACTGGGATCTGTCCTTTGCTCTGTTTAGCTTCCCTCCAGTAAAGGTTCTGGTTTCCAGTGGGAAGGAATGGTTTGGAGGTAATGGAGCTGGTGGAGGTGCATCCATCCTCTCCTCTGTGTCCCTGCAGAGAATCGTTCCCCTTCGAGCAGCAGTTCAACATCCTGATGCGTTTCATCGTGGACCAGACCCAGACCCCCAACCTGAAGGTCAAGGTGGCCATCCTGCGTTACATCGAGGCTCTGGCCCGGCAGATGGACCCGGCCGACTTTGTCAACTCCAGCGAGACCCGCCTGGCGGTCTCACGCATCATCACCTGGACCACCGAGCCCAAGAGCTCCGACGTGCGTAAGGTAGGACAGCCCGGACCTCCTCCCGCCTCCCTGCTCTGGTCATTCCATCCTTCACCGTGTTTCCTGACCTCCACCCTCAGACCCTCCATAGCTGGGCAGGGGAGGAGTTCTCGGGTCGGACCGGCGCCGTGGCCTCTCTGCCCGGGGAGGGGAACCTGGAGGAGAGGTGCAAGCAGGTAGATCCAGTCGGACGGCATGACGGGAGCTAACCAGAGATCCGAGTGCAGCTCTAACCTCTAACCCAGAAGCATGGCTGAGGGCTCCGCCTGCTCTAACCCTTCCGCAGATGTTTGTGTTGCAGGTGGAGCAGTCGGCAGTGCCCCCTGGTGGAGGCTGGATGGAGTGAAGGCTTCCAGTAACGGTGTTTTGTGTCCTGCAGGCGGCCCAGGTGGTTCTGATCGCCCTGTTTGAGCTCAACACCCCGGAGTTCACCATGCTGCTGGGAGCGCTGCCCAAAACCTTCCAGGACGGGACCACCAAGCTGCTGCACCACCACCTGAGGAGCGCCAGCGTCGCCATGGTAACCATGCCTGCAGGGGGGGGTACGGTCAGACGGCGGGGAGCGATTCTAACCGGCTGTTTTCTCCACATCCAGGCGGCTCCGGTCCAGCCGGCGGGTCGGACGCCTCCTCGCCACCCGGGCCGCAGCAGCCCCATGGACTCCCCCACCAACCACGGCCTCTCCCCCAGGTAGGAGCAGCCGGAACGCCCGGATCGGGTCCCCTCTCCCTTCAGGACTGAAGGTTCTGACTGTTCCGGTTCTCTCCCCCCCTCCCTCCTCCCCCTGCAGCCGGCTGTGGGGCTGGAGCGCCGACGGCCTCTCC